GAAGAAAGTCAAGCACAAGGAGAACAGTCTTGCATAAGCTCGTGAAACTTATAATAACAATAAAAGAACAGAATGGCAGTTTTTAAGACTTACTTCATTCCATGATGTTACTAGGCATTGTAAAAATCTAAAACTCAGAAGCTGAGATGCCAATTAGAAAAAAATAAATAAAATAAAAAAACTCAGAACATCACTGAAAGTATAATTAATTACCGTCTTACAGAAATGGAATCGAATCTTATAAATCTGACTCAAATGATACAATGACTGCATTTACATGGCAATCAGATTTTGGAAAAAGCTAAGGTTTAGGAATCTATAAAAGATAATGGCTTAAGGATCGGGGAGAGCTTGCCTACAAATTGGGCAGCTCTAGAGTAACTATTTGGGGTGGTGGACTCGTCTGTGTCACAATTGTTCATACCACTGTATGCACCTGTGAAAACTCACAGACCTTCACTAAAGACTGTTACCATCGTGCACGTTCATAAATAATCAAAAACGCACAACCTGTGAACTAAGAGGAAACTTAAACTCACCTGAACCTTGATTTATAGGCAAGCAAAGCCAATTCTTTCCATCTCCTTAGAAATCTTACAGAGGATGGCGGATGTGGGAAAGAAGACATCTGGAGTTATCAGTCCTTTCTCGGGACCCAGCATGACATTAGGACACGCCCCCTAGGGCCACGTCTGTCTCACCTCAGACACACACCTGCAGGGCAGTGAGCGGTTCCTGGGGTCTGAGTTCTGAAAATACAATAGGCCTGAAATGTAAAGTTCCCTTTTGAGGATCCTCCTGGGCGGAATTCCGATGCTTAGCCCTCTGCCTCATGTCTTCCCAGAGCTTGTGTTGAGGCCCTTCCATCCTAAAACGCCTGTTCCTCATCCAGTTCTTTCTGCTGAGAATCTTCCTTAGAGATCCATAGCTGTCCTCGTCGTGAGAAAATTTCCCTGGAGCCCCGGGAAAGAAATCTTAGTGATGTGCTGAAGAGAAGTAGAAAATGGGGGTAACCCGGTCTCTGGGCACAAGCGCCCTTACCCTGGGCCACAGGAACCCGGCGCTTCCGCCCCATCTCCTCAGGACTCCATCTTGCAGTCCCCATGCAAGTCACTTCCGGGAGAGGATGCTCCGCCCACAGGCGCTGGGGCACGCACTCGCGCACAGGCCCCTGGGTTGCAGTCACCTGACTCAGTCCGGAACTCTGGGAGGCTTGGGGCCACACATGCGCAGTCCACACCTACGGACCCTGCAACCTCTGGCTTCCTGCCCATCCTCAGGCATCACGCAGCAGGCCTGCTGAGCACTTTCCTTCCTGCCCCCTGCTTGCCCACTGCTGGAGACACCACCGAAGGAACCCCAAGCCCTTTGGGAAATGCAGTTAAAAAAAAAAAAAAAGACAGCCCTTAGGCGCTAAAAATCTCTGCCCTCAGATTGCTCCCAGCATGCAGTGCACCCGGTCCTCCAAGGCAGATGTGACCCAGGGGCCGCTGGGAGTTCGTGCGCAGGTGCAAGAGAGTTTTCCTTCCGGGGGAGGGGAAAAGCTGTGAGGCTGGTTTTCCAGAATGCCCAGAAAGGGAGGGGTTTACCACAATAGTATTTTGTGTATCTGAACATGACCAGGCATAGAAAAGGTACAGCTTTCCAAGGAGATTGTAATCAGTGTATTCCCGTTGCTCCACATCTTCACCAACACTCGGCACTTTCCTAGGTGTTGATTTTTGTTATTTTAGCCATTATTATGGTGGGGACGTAGTGGCATCTCATTGTGGTTCTAATTTACATTTCCTTTATTACAACATTGACCATAATTGAAGTATGTATTAGCCATTTGGATAGCTTCCTTTGTGAATGATTCATCAAATCTGTTTCCATTTTACTTTTCTGTTGCACTGTCTGCTGCGTTAATTTGTAGGGGCTCATACTCTGGATGCAGGTCCTTTGTAATACACATATTGCAAGTTCCTTCTTCCGTGATATACGCTGTCTTTTCACTCTCCTCATGATGCCTTTTGTTGAGTAGTTCTTAATATCAGTGAATTCTATTTTTTATGGTTGGTGTTTTGTGTTTCAAGAAATGGTTGCCTATTCCAATTCATGAAAATGATTGCTTTCTTCTTAAGTTATTTAATTTTTACATTTATCTTCAGTACATCTGGAAAACAATTTTTATGTATGGCCTGCTTTAGAGATCTGGATACATTTTATTTTTGTGTAAAGTTCCTGGCTAAGGGGCATAGGCAAGAATATGACTCAGTGTTCATGGCTGGGAATGATCACAGACAAAGGGGGAGAAGCCACCAGGTTGGCTCAGTTTATAGCCACATAGAGAAGCCCCTATGAGTCCGTATGGTTGGAGGGTGGTGCAAAAGTGGAGAAAATAAGGCCAGACAGCACTCAATGTCAGCCTACACTGCCAGCCATTTGACAGGACTCAGGGTTCATAGGCAAAGGACTTTGCAAAGATTCCTGGGCTCCATGTGTGAGTAGAGGGAGTGGGCTGCCTCAGTTACAACTTTAGCCTGAGCAGCATCCTAAAGATTACACACACGGTAACCGCAGTCACTGGCTGCACTTGCTTGAGCCGGCTTAACCTTCTATTAAATTCTGACACGTGCTCTCTGCTGCCGCCTAGTGATAACTAATGGAAATGCACACTCCCTAAAACAACTAATTGATGAGACGCTGTTTACAACTATAAAGGCCAACGACTTGTAGTTTTTAGAGCACAGTCAGAAGAATAACCTTGTCCTTTTGTGACTTTGGTTTAATTTTCTTTCAGACTGGATAAAGCCAAGATTTACTGATGGTACAGTAAAAATGTAATCATCCAGACTTTGGCACTTGGGACACACAGGTAGACACCCTCTTAGAAATAATGGTCTCAGAGAAACTAACAGATTTCCATGTGATGCAAACAGCACAGACTGTACACCTCCCCTGGGTTATTTTTCTCCTTAAGACTTACTACCATACACCAGGTATTTCACCTACGTATCTATTTTTCCTTTGTAGAATTTCAGCTCTAAGAGAGCAGGAGTATTTCCTCTGTTCTGATCACAGATAAATCGACAGCACCTAGTACAAAGCCTATTGCACATATGGAAATAAATGCCTATTGAAAGACTGTACATATATACACACACGCCCTGTGTGGGGACTTTTCCCATTTATCCAAACTCACAGGCTCACATCCACTTGATCTCTAGAAAGTGAAGCGTTGTCTCCCCACATTCGAAATAGCAACAGTGTCTATTGGCCTCTGAATGTACCCGATAATATTGATTCACAATGTATAATGCTTAAATTCACAAAGTTACAAAGTTGATTTGACAATTCATACTTTCAATATTTTACACAGCTTTGAGTAAATGAAAAATAGAAATTGACATTTGTTAGTACACAATTTATTTGAAAACACAGTTAATAGGCTATTTCTCATAAACATTGTAGACATTTACATAGTATACAACTTATTTGAAAACACAGTTAACATGGTATTTCTTAAAAACAGAAGCTTTTGTTTTAATCACACATAGTCAAACATAATAATTGAACACATACTGAGAGATTGTATACAGCTCTGGATAGCAGAAAAACCCACACCATATGCCCAATATGTCAGTAATGTGTTTATTTATCTAATGGAATACTGGGGTCAAGGTAGTCTCTCAATGATACCGTAGGGAAACAATCCCATGTGTTTTTATGGCTGCACCATTATGTCTGTCATGGTGGAATCAGGAACACAGAAGCATAAGTATTAAGAGAATGAGGTATTCACCATACAAACTAGACTTTACATGCATACGGTAACGCTAGAGTAAAGGGGAGTCAGAACATCAGATAAGATCAACCACCATGGCATCCTGACTCAGTGGCTTGGTGGACAATGTAGGGCTTACAGGAAAATCCAAACTGTGGATGTCCGACCATGCACTGTGGTGCATCCATGATGGGAAATCTGGTGGAGATGTCTGTGGAAGCCTACACCTCTGAAAAAATGGAAGTCAAGCAGTTGATGTGTGTAAGCTAGACCCTGGTTTCCACAGTCCCTATGCATCCATCTATCCTCCTGTATGGTGGTGGCTCCATGAACTGAATAATTGCTTCTTCCAAATCTCACACAAGTTGGGATATTATGGAATTCTAACATGGAACCATATAGATAAGGCATCCTGGGAATTGTACTTCCTAGTCTTACCTATGTTGTTATAACACAATCCAGCAGAACCATCTCCTCCTCTAGATTTCACTACCATAGAACAGATCTCTCTTCGTAATTCGAACCTATTACCCAGTTTCCAGCCAGAAGCAGGACAAAGAGCAAACAGAAACAGATGAAAATAATAGTTCATAGGAGACTATACTCTTTTAAGACTTTTGCATACTCACAAATTTCTACCAACTATTTATTAGCCAGCCAGCAAAATGGAAGAAGGATCCTCTGACCAAAAAATTTAAGTCACTGAGAATATATACTTTATGTAAATAAAAAGTTTTAACATTAAAAATTGTTAGATTTCTAGTAAAATAGAAAGGTGGAGTATAAGTAATGGGTAAGTGATATCCAGTTTGGAACACACAGGGCCCGTCAGAAAATGCCAACACATATCAATGTTTCATTTGTCTAATGGCCTCATACTTACAGAACAGCCAAAGAACTATGTAAAAATTAAACGTAATGCAAATTAAAAATACACTTCAAATCACCCATGGGTGCAACACACTTCTAAATGGAAAGAGAAAAATTATTAACTGAATTCTTAAAGAAAAACATTATTATCAAAATTTATGTACTATAGATGAAAGAGTACTTAGAGAATTCTCACCTCAATCTTTATCTGCAAGAGAACTGGAAATTCATTTGCTAGGGGTCTACTTTTAGTATGTGTTACTGATCAAGGCCATACTATATTTGTAACATTTATAAGATTTCTCCTCTGGTGTGAATTATCTGAATCATTATACGTGAATTAATTTGCATAGGATTTCCCACACTACTTCGATTTATAGAGTTTCTTTCTAGTGTGATTTCTCACATGACCTTGAAAGGATTTGGGACAATTGAAAGCTTTCCCACATTTTTCACATTTACAGGGCTTCTCTGCAGTCTGTATTCTTACATTTTTGGAAGAATGAGGCCCAACTGAAGGCTTTCCCACACTGTTCACAGCTATAGGTTTCTCTCCAGTGTGCTTTCTCACATGTTTGTGTAAGGATGAGAACCAACCAAATGTTTTCCCACATTTTTCACATTTATAGACATTGTCTCCGGTCTGCTTTCCTACATTTTTGGAAGCATGAGGCCCAACTGAAGGCCTTCCCACACTGTTTACATTTGTAGGTTTCTTCCCAGTGTGCATTCTCACATGCTTGTGTAAGGATGAAGGCCAACCAAATGCTTTCCCACATTTTTCACATTTATAGGGTTTCTCTCCATTGTGAATTCTCACATGTCTTTGAAAGGATGTAAGCCAACAGTAGGCTTTCCCACACTGCTTGCATTCATAGGGGCTCTCTCCAGTGTGCATTATCATATGGACTCTAAAGGACTTTTGGCAACTGAAGGCTTTCCCACATGGCTTACACTCATAGGGCTTCCCTCCACTGTGCATCATCACATGTGATCGAAAAGATTTGGGGCAACTGAAGGCTTTCCCGCACTGCTTACATTCATAGGGTTTCTCTCCAGTGTGAATCCTTATATGTTCAGTGAGAGAATAGGAACGAAGAAATGTTTTCCCACAAAATTTACATGCATAGGGTTTCTCTCCACTGTGAGTTTTCACGTGAATCCATAGGTATGAAGGACGACCGAAGGCTTTCCCACATTCCTCACATCGATATAGTTTTTGTCCACTGTGACTTCTTTTGTGTCTCATAAGGGATGAAGAATGAGTAAAGACATTTCCACACTGACTGCATTCATACCGCTTTACTCCGATAGGACGTTTCTTGCGCAGCTTAAGATTTGGAATCTTGCTGAAGGTTCTGCCATGCTCATTATCTTTACTGTTTTTACATGGTCTCGCCACCATTTCAATTCTGCAAAAAATAGGAAGCACATTATTAATAGTTTATGTCTTAATAATTTCTTAATATTTACTAATGAGTATTAAGATTACATTTTTATCATTTTCTATGTAAGGTTTTCTGTCTTATTTGAATTAATTCAAAGTAGAATAAACTATATGCTATAGAATAAGTTTCAACTATAGCCTATTACTACAACAATAGTAATATATGGGGTTCCCTGGTAATTGTTTCCAACTGAATTATCTTTCAAACACTTCGTGTATAAGTCATATAAAGAAAAAGAGTGTTGGGGGGAATTCTCTGTGAATAAATAAATTTGGAGCAAGGGTTATGAGGGTTTTGAAAAATTTCATGAAATACTATGATTCTGTAGTGGGATACTACTTTTCATTTTAAGTGCAACTCACCTCAAGTGTCTCCCCTGGTTTTTGCGCTTATCTTTAATGCTATGGTCTTCCCAATTTTTTCCTAAAAGGGAGGCCCAGGTATCATTTCTTTTGAACCTTGCTATTTTCTGTTCAATGGATAATTTTTCTCCAAAAATATCCTGCTGAGAAATGGACCCATTGGTTTTAAGTTGAGTCTCATTATCTGAAACAAAAAAGTGAACAAATCTTATTAGAAGTCACCTGTGAGCAAATAAATACATTCGGGAATTTAGCTGTTTTATTACTTCATTATAAACAGGCACAAGAGGTCAAAATGGTAGGCAATTTAAAATGCACAAAAAAACACAAGGCTGTGAACAATAAGTCTCTCTGTGCTCCCCAAATGACCCATGAATATGTACCCACACTAATGACACTAAAGGAACCTAAGTCTTTTAAACAAGACAGAAAGAAAACATAGATTAATATGTATATTTTTATTATCACAGAGAAACTGTTAAATTATAGGTCCAATACAACAATGATTATAACTGTCCTATTAACCAATGTATTCCCCTACTACACTCCAAATCTAAGAATTGGATCAATGAGCAAGAAATACTTATTCTTTAAATAACTAAGTGAAGACATTATGCCATCCTTACCCACTGAGGCCAGGTTCTTGAAGGTTTCCAGCATCACATCTCTGTAGAGTTTTCTCTGAACAGGACTCAGCAAGTCCCACTCCTCCCCTGTGAAGTCCACGGCCACATCTTCAAAGTCCACTGAGTCCTAAAATAAGCCACGTATGTGTGCAGGAGTATGGATGAAGCTCCCAGCACCGGGCAAGTGGACTCAATTCATAGGAAGTTCACACAAGATCTTATGGTCTCCCAACATCTACTTATGACTCACTTGAAAGACCTCTTCCTTTCTGTCCACAGTGACTTGTACACATCACCAGTTAGAGTGGGGAGTAAAATAGGCTTAACTAAAATAATTTAGCCAGTCACCAAACAAATACAAACAGATAATAATAGCAAGTCCAGATGGGAAGGGCTACTAGCATCCAGAGTTGTTAAAATATATTACCTAAAATGCCCAGTTTTGAATAAAAAATGACAAGACACACAAAGAAACAGGAAAATATACTCCTTACATCAGAAAAAAAAAAAATCAGGCAATAGAAACTGCTCGTGAGAGCAAATAGATGTCAGATTTAAAGAAAAAGCCTTCAAAGTAACCATAATAATGTTAAAAAACCTAAAAATCCATAATTAAAGAAGTAAACGAAGGTATGATGACCATGTTGCATCAAATAAGAATACCAATAAAGAGATAGAATTATATATTTTTAAAAAGAACCAAGTAAAAATTCTGGAGTTGAAAAACACAACCGAAATGAAAAAGTCACTAGAGAGGCTCAACAGTAGATTTGAACCAGGGGAAGACAGAACTACAAGTTGTATTATTCCACACATATGAAATGTCCAGAATAAGGAAATCTATAGAAAAAGAATGTACATTAGTAGTTATTTGTAGCTGGGAGGGGCAGGAGGGGTGATAGTTAAAGGGTACAAAGTTTTTTTTGAAGTGATGAAAATGTTCTAAAATTGACTGTGGAGATGGTTGTATAAATCTGGGAATAAACTGAAGCCATTGAATTATGCACTTTAAATTGATGAATTGTATGGTATGTGAATTATATCTCAATAAAGCTGTGTTGTTAAAAGCTAACACATAATAAATAAATCTATTGAAGGATATAAAAGAATTGTAACTTTTAGAAAAATATTTAACTTTATCGGATAATATAAAAGCAGAAAGAAATAAACAGAAAGAATTCAATGACACTAAGATGGCAGCTCCCCCAAAAGAGACCTGTAGGCATTATAAAATTGCATTAAATCCCCAAACCTGTCTTTCTATGACATCATAAAAACTATTTTTTCCAAACTTAATAGGAAAAACTAACGTCAAAAAAAAAATGCAGCAAGGAATTTAAAACTGTGAAAGTCCAGACAAGAGGGTATTAGCAGAGGGGCAAACAAATAGGTTAATGGAAAAGTAAAGGGTCCTGGATAGAGCCTTGCATATGGAAATCTGAATAATGACGCAGCAGGATTTTCAGAATGATGTATACTTTACTACAACAGGGAAGGGAGAAATTGGTATCTAACTGCAAAAAATGCATTGAATTCCCACTTATTCCATGGATAAGAACCAATTTATTGTAAATTTAAATACAAAAGACAAAACTAGAACACTTTCAGAAGCTACAGGCAAATATCTTTACAACATAAGAATAGGGAGAGTTTTCTTATATAAGAAAAAAAGTTTTAGCTATAAAGGAAGAGATTGACAAATTAAATCTTATTAAAAAGTAAGGGAACAAAAAGATAAACCAGAAACTTAGAGAAAGATATTTCATCTATATATATATATTTATTTATATATATAGATTAATGTGTAGACTAAAATTAAATGATCAGACAAATGAATTTCAAAAAATGGGAAAATGACCCAAACATATCTCACAAAAGATGAAAGACCATATATGAAAAAAGCCAACCTCACTGGTAACGAACAAATAGCAACATCTCAAGTAGATCCCATTACAAACCAATAAAAAGGGAAAAAATTAGTAAATCAGATAATCCCATGTTGGTGACCCTATTGAACAAATAAGCAGTTATGCTCAGGTGTTTGACCAATCAACTAGTACACTCTATTGGAGCTTCCTAGTAAATTTGGACTTAGCCATGATCTAGAACCCAGCAACTTTTCTCCAATAGGTGGAGAGTTTACTGTGCATTTGTAATTGCAATTGGAGACTGAAACCAGAATCACAGAAGCAGCATTTTTCACAAGAGGAAAAAATAAATAAAACTTGAAAAACCCAAGTGTCATACACATTGGAAGAGTGAACGGGGTGGCCTGCAGCCTCAGAAACCAGCATGTGCAAAGAATTCTCAGAATATTCACTCATTGAAAGCTCTAAAGAGGCAAAACTAAACAGAACTCTGCTTAGAAAAAATAGTAGACGGTCAAGGTATGAACAATAAGCAAAGAATCAAACAGTTGTCACCGATGTGGCAAGATGGCGGTGAGTGCAGGGAGAGGCACCTCTGGCGGAGACCCTACCAACTACCCAAGGCCATTTGTGAATCTTAACGAACAGTCCACATATGTTCTTGTAGTTATTACTTTTTTTAAAGCTCCCGTGAAACATTTAATGCCTTCTTTTGTGACTATGATATATTTCACATAAAAATGTAAAGCATCAATTAAGGTTGAAAAAATATACTTTTTATGTGTTTGTTGCACCATGTAATGTGACTATGTCGGCTTTTATTCACAGCCTGTGTAGCAAAAGACTGGAAACAGGCCAAGTGTCTAATAGAATCGGTTACGTAAATTCATCATAAGCACCTTTATGAAAATCTATACCAGCAGGTATCGATATGAAAAGATCTGCAGGAGTTACCAAGAGAACAAATAAGCACAGTGTACTGTGAAAGTTACCTTTCCTTTTGTTGGGGGATTTCCATGCCAGTTCTGCTTAAAACTGCAAAGCAGCTAAGTAGAGCAAGTAAGTAAAATATGCACCAGCTAGCTGAAACCACAAAACAATTAAGCAGAGTTATAAGCCTGTCATGACTGTACTGCTTGTTGTAAACCTATCATAACTATACTGTTGGTTATAAGCCTATCATAACTGTACTGCATGTAAAAACTGCTATTAATTGGCTAACTTTTAATCCTTTTAGTAATTGGTTAACTTTTATGCTTGTGTGTGTTACTGGATAAGACTAACCCCCCCAAAAAAGTATAAAACCCGACAAAAACCAGGAAGAAGTGCTCAGAATCTAGAGGCTTGTCCTCTCTGGGCGGCCGGCAATAAACTTGCTGATTCTCCAACTCTCTGCATGCCACTCGGTTATGCCCCTGGGACCCGTCACTGTAACACTTGCCATAACACTTTAACAAAGGGGTGAAAGAAATGGCTAGTTTTTATATAAAGAAACACTAACATAATGTGCAAGAAACAATTAAAACTGGTTGTCCGAGGTGGCTGAGGCAAGAACACCGCAGCAGATCAGGCTGTGCTGGTCTAAGTTAAACTTAAAACACTTTATGGATTTTTTAAACTTTCCATGTATTACTTACTTTAAATCAAGAGAAATTTACATAAATCATATTTTGCTTTTTAATGGTTTTTATTTTTATTTGGAAGCCACTTTTCTACATAGCAAACCATTTTTTTTTTTTTTTTTGAGACAGAGTCTCACTGTGTTGCCCGGGCTAGAGTGCCGTGGCATCAGGCTAGCTCACAGCAACCTCAAACTCCTGGGCTCAAGCGATCCTCCTGCCTCAGCCTCCCGAGTAGCTGGGACTACAGGCATGCGCCACCATGCCCGGCTAATTTTTTCTATATATTTTTAGTTGTCCAGCTAATTTATTTCTCTATTTTTAGTAGAGACAGGGTCTCGCTCTTGCTCAGGCTGGTCATATAGCAAACCATTTTAAGATTGAATTCTGTAAACACTAAAGTTTATAAAAGTACAAACCATAAGAAATGAAATATTTTCAAATCTCTTGATGACTAAAATGACAAGTGACATCATAGTTTGTATTTCTACTCTATCTCTGAGGAGTATTTTCAGAAATGAGTAACATATTAATTAATGCCTCAGGAGTCTGGGCATACCCCATTAAAGAAACTCCAATTTTCAAGGCTTTACATAACCTAAAAGGATATATATCTTCATGTCAGCCAAAATAGGAATTGTCTTAGGAATAGTACAGCCTTTTAAATCTCAAAACTCTCTAGGGACTATTACTGATGTAAAAACATGAAAAATGAACCTGAGAATTTAAATACACCCTATCATATGTCAAGGTTCTCTTGAGTAAAAGGAAAAATAATTCCAGAATTATCATCCTACATTTTATCTCTCAATCCACTTAGATTTTCACCCACAAAAATAAAAATCTTACACATTTAAACAAGCAGATAAAATTACCAAGTGCTTAGGGAAACTGGAGTTAGTTGGCAGCAATATTTGACACAGGAATGAAAAGGGAAGAAAATAAACATTTCCATCAGCTCAGACGAAGCAACCAGCTTCACCCACAGTTTGCAAGAAAAACCCACATTCAGAAGCTGAAACACACTCCCAACATTGGGATCCAGACTCTCGCTGCAAAAATATAACTCCTAGAGCGGGTCAGTCCCCAGCGATGGAGGGTAGGGGGACCTGAGCAGCCACAGGAAGGAACTCAGGGAACTCTCCCCTCCTCACTATGTGGAAACACTCCGTGCCCCAGGACTTCAATCTCCACTAAGGAGGAAACTCTCAGCTGCACTCAGTTTAAGTTCTGATCCCAAAAAACTCAAATTCATCCCTTTTTCCAGAAGCCAGAACCCAAAGGAGTCTTTCTCTCAGTCTGACCTTGATAGACTGTCTCAGTTTGCACAATCACACTCAGACCCCACCAACGCTGTAGATGCCAAACCAAACCTACTGGCAGGAAAAAACCCAAGACAATGGCAATTATGACCTCAGAAAGGGCATCACGCCCCACCCACATCTGCCTGTGGGTCCCCAACTTCCCAACGCTCTACAGCTTTTCCTGGTGTAACCAGCTGCTTCTGCAGAGGGTGTGAGAGGCTGGGACACCTGCAAGGGGAGGCTCCCCAGGAAGAACCAACTTCATATTCCCGCCTTTGGAAGCTCCCCATTGGCCTTACCTTGGAGTCACTGGCCCCAGACTCAGGCTATTCACTCATGTCGGACCCCCATGGATATGTTAAACGAGACAAACTCAGTGTCTGAAGAATCCAGCAAATCACTCAAACCCAGCGTTTGTCGGAAGAGAAGAATGAAACGAGCGAAGAAAATTTGAGTACTTTTTATAGTTCAAGAAAGAAACCCACAAGTAGCTATTCCTTTCAGAAAATAAAGCGGTCACTGAATTATTTTTGTGATAACAAAATGCTTTGTAAACAATCAGATTTCAAGACTTCTAGGTGGTGCAAGTTTCAGGACATAGCATTTTTGCATTCATCCCTGAAGTTCAGATAACAAAAGAAAACAGAATTATCCATTGTCACAAATGCTCCACCCTGCAAAAGGTGAATAACTGATAGTTCAGTGAGTTGTTGTAATTCACCAATTGATACACCAAATATGTTTTTTTCTTGTAGAAATGCATTGAGTTTGGGGGCGTCATAACGGAAGAGAGATTTATTCTATTTCTCCGAGATTCCTTTCCCCGGGAGCATTTTCAAGGCTAAGCCCTGGAATCCAACTTGTCATCACGAAACAGAAAACAACAGATGTGAGAAACTTAAGGACACGGGCAAAAAGGACAACAGGAGAATTTAAAAAAAGAAAAAAGACACAGAAGTATTTTTAACAAATGGAATGTAAGACTAGAACTTTATTTTCTCTGAAATTCACCTCTAAGTTGCCTCTTTGGAAATAGTGTATCTTTCGAGCTCTAGTCATTATATACATGTTATATTTACTGGAAAAAAAAAAAAACATCCGAGGCTGAGTCACCAAATAAATCTTCTGAAGGGGACAAAGCAAGGGAGGGGCAGGGCTGAGCGGGACAGACTCCAGGGTCAGGTCCGGCCACCCTGCACCTGTTCCCGAAGCGCAGCCCGAGGGACGCTGGCTGTGTCCCCGCCGCGAGACCACGGTGCGTTTCGTTTTGCTCTGGGTTAGTTTTTCTCCCAGGCTGAGGGGCTGGAAGCATTTCAGTGTCCTGCCTCGGGACCAGCGTGCCGCCAGCCGACAACGTCTCCGCAAGAAAAGCGACGCCAGGGAAGGACTCTCCGCGCGGCCCCGGGACCAGACGGGGACAGAGCTGCACCCGGGGTCCCCAGTGCGCCCAGCCCGCAAGCTGTCCGCCCTCCCGGGGGGATGACCCGGGGCTGCTGTTCGCCGGACTCTCCAGACCCTAACCCAGACTCTGACCCAGACCCTGACTCCGACCCCGATCCTGACCCGGTCCCTTCCCCGGCCTGTCTCCCGGCCCCGCGCGCTCACCATGTCCCGGCCCCGCTCCTGGGCTCTCCCAGGCGGGCTCCCTTCGGTGAACGCTCCGGGGACTGGGACGTCTGCAGCCTGCTGGGCGAGGGAAGAACGTGCGCAGCCTGAAGGACAGCGACACCCCGCCCCCAGGCTCCGATTGGACAATGCTCCGGAAACGCTCCACCCCCGGCACGCTATTGGATAGTGCTCCAGGCTTCGGCGGTGCCTCTGATTGGACAGCACTCTGGGCACTGCCCCTGGGCCCCTGATTGGACGTATTCAACTCCTCCCCACGCGCCCCGCCCTTTGGAGACTACACTAGCCCCGCCCCAGATCCCCTGATTGGACAGTTCTCAGGCCCCACCCCAGCTCCCCTGACTGGACTGTTCTCAGGCCCCGCCCCAGCTCCCCTGATTGGACAGGTCTCAGATCCCCCCCAAACCCCCCCGAATGGAACCGTCCCAAGCCCCCCCCGCCCCAGCTCCCCTGACTGGACAGGTCTCAGGCCCCGCCCCAGCTGGCATGATTGGACTGCTCTCAGGGCCAGCCCATCCGCAGTGGTCTCTTTCCTGAAATGAAAAAGTAGTACTTACCTAGAGGCAAATCGGGGTCCTTCCGGGTATCCCAGCTACAAGAACAAGCAGCTTTCTCTGTCCTCAGTCCGTTGCCAGAATGCATTCCGCTGGAGGAGGTCGTCTCTCTCCTTGCCAGTAGCCAGCCACCTGGCGAGACCCTTGGGATCAAGTGAGTGATCAAAGCAAGCTTTTGCATCTCCTTACTGGGGCCAGCACAGTTGCCTGAACTTCCTCCCCCCAGAGGATGCCCTGGCCAACTACTAGCCTCATCTGAACGTTTGTGCAAATTCCTGAAGCCATCACCTGTGGTCTAGCCATCTGGTCCTCACGGTGGCAGCAACTCCTTATCCTAGGTCAACACTTTGAGGTAAAGAACTCTAGACATACCTTGCTTCAGTTATCCCAACATAAATCAACGTCACTCCTATCTCTGTACCTACTAAAGCTCAACTCGAGAGGCTCAGTTCAATGTGCAGGCAGATAAAATGGCTAGAGTTTCTGAGATGCATACCAACATATAATAGAGGGAGCATAGTCCCTGGGGTCTGTCCCTAAGGCCGATGGCAAATAGAATTTATAGTGTCCCTGTCCACTTCTGCAGAGTCTGTCCCCTATACCCTGATCACGATAGACACTTAAATGAGCATATTACTGACCCATCCCACAAGACATGGCACTGAAGCCACAATACAAGGCTTCACCAAGACACTCCTTACTCCTTGGGGCTCCAGATGTTACTAACAGTGACCAAGGCACTCAACTCATTTCTGAAACTACACAACACTGGGCTTCTTTTTTTATTTTTTAGACAGGGTCTCTGTTTCCTAGACTGGAGTGCAGTGGTGTCATCGTAGTTCACTGCAGCCTCCAACCCCTGGGCTCAAACAATCCTCCTGCCTCAGCCTCCTGAGTAGCTAGGACAACAGGCTTGTGCCACCATGCTCAGCTAATTTTTCTAATTTTTGTAGAGATGGGGTCTCGCTGTGTTGCTGAGGCTGGTCTCAAACTCCTGAGCTCAAGTGATCCTCCCACCTCAGCCTCCCAGAGTGCTGGGATTTCAGGCATGAGCCACCACACCTGGCCTGGTTCATTATTTTGATCACAGGATGGCTTTGTGGATATATATGTGTGTCACAACTTACCAAATTATATACCCTATATATGTGCATTTTATTGTGTTTTAGTTATTACTCAATAAACCAAAAAAGTTAGCTTGGTCCCAACCTTTCTATTTCATTCAATAACAAACTCACTTTAAAAATTATGAAACTTTTTATTTTTTAGTATATATTGGCAGAATGTAATAATGCAATAACTACATGCCTCTTGAAGGTTAAATGCAACTAATTTGTAACTCCCAGCCTACTAGGCCTTTATATTTCCTTACACAAAGACTAGGGAACACATAGAGACACAGAAACACCACAGCCATGCAGTGAGACACACAAACACTTTTTCTGGACACAGGGACCACTGACACATGAAACCTCCCAGACATACCAATGTGGCCTCACAGAATCACCCAGACTTTGTCACTAGAAAAAACAAGTAGACACACCCAGACACGAATCACAGACACACCCTAAGGTATGCTGGTTCCAGAGGCAGTAACGGGCTCTCCCACAGACACACATAGCCCGGGCCCTCTGCACGCCTTGACCCCAGTTTTGTTTTGCTCCTTAGGAATTACCACCATCCATGCAATGTGTATTTTACTCACATCCCTTGGTTTTTGTCTCTGAGAATGTTGGCTTTAAGGGAACAGGTATATTTTGTCTATTCTGTTCACTGCAGGACCCACGACATGACATGTTACACAGGAGAACATCAAGAAATACTTATTTAACGTTCAGGCTCAACACAAACACACGTTCAGAGATTTGTGCACAAATCTCATCATAGGGCCACATCCATCTGAACTTCAGAGAATTAATTTTCACGTCCATCCCTGGTGGCAGAAGGATATCCCCTGGCCCTTAAACGAAGGTGCTTGAGCCATCTTGGTGGGGAAAGAGCCACCAAGACAGGTGGCTCTTGGTGGCTTGGTGGGGTGAGCCTTCACTGTCCACATGAGAACCTGAGAACAAGGAACCTGAGTCCCTGAGTGCTGGGGCTCCACATGACAAGAGTTATGATGCTGTACCCCTCATGTTGCTCTGGAGTTCTTCCAAGAATGAGTTCCAGGTAGCTCAGGACATCACTGGTATCTCTTCCCTCGCTCAGCCACCATGTCCTCTTCTGCAGTCACCACTGACGCCACCATATCCGGGGCAGTCTCTTCTATTCGCCATTAAGGGTCCTTTGGACCGTCAGGGGCCTTTCCCGTCACACCTCACGGCTCAAGTACATCTGCAGTTATGAGACGATGGAGGCCTCTGGAGCACGCACCGTCTACGCTTAACAGACATGCAACATCCGGGACTCACCGCCCCGGAAACTGAGGCGAAGGAAGAGAAGGGCTTCCACAACTTCCGGTACCACTCTTGCTCTTGTCTCCTCAAGGTCTCCACTTCCGGTAAGTGCGCCTGCATACTTCAGCGAAGGTGGAAACTCCCCCAGGGCACAGCTCTTTTAGACGCGAGCCCGTGTTGCATCCAGGGAACAATCTGCCAGAACTGGGGTCCCGGAGCCTGAGGGGCTTCTCTTGGGAACTACCTTTCCCACAGGCCAATGGGCTGGGGCTCTGCGCGGTGGGGCGCCTCCCAGGAAGTGCGCATGCGCCGCGGTGAAGCCTTTGGTATCCGTAATACCTGCCCTGGAGCGTTGGGAGGAGGCAGATAAGGAGCTTGGGGGCTATGAAAATGTAAGTTAGCTGGAAAATGGAGAAAGATTGAGTATTGTTTGCTCTTTAATAAAACACTAAGGTGTGACACTTTTTTCTCTTCCCTAGCTAGTGCTGGAAGTCTACAGAAGTGGAAATGATACTTGTGAAAAGTTAAATAGGCTTTTGGGGCTTTGTGGATCATTAAAAGAAAAAGCTCCTCATTAGCATAGTGGGGAGTAAAAACAAAACAAAACAAAACGCTTCTACCTCTTTCTCCTGTAAAACACATTAAATTTTTTCCTGCTTTAGGATGTCAAAAATGTCTTCTTTTCTACTAAATTTCACTCAAATTGATCTTTATGTTCTGGAGCTCACCTTCAAACCACAAAAATGACCAAACATCCCCTTCTTCTCCCCAATATGACTGATTGCTGCTGATTTACCAATTAGTTTTCAACTCCGCTTAGCTTTTTCTGCCTTCTAGAGAGGAATATTTAGGATTCCCAGAGAAAATTATATTCATGATGTAAGAGCATCCAATCCAGACCAAAGCCTGAATTCCTTGAACTCTCACCAAAATCACCAAAGACAAGACCAAATCTGATAATAAATCCTTTAAAACACCCTCATGTAACCCACAGTTCATCATGTGTTCAAATTGCTTTAACTCAATACAGCCAATTTTCTTTGACTACCACTCTGATCCTGGTGGGAGTTTGGCCAAAGCGCACTGACAACACCATTATTTAGGCTCTTTATTATTTTTAACAATGAATAAAAATTCATTTCAAAGGCAAATGTAGGTATATAACAAGAAATAAAATTTACACAACAAAAAAAATACTTGTATACACCTGGTCATATTGATTTGGAATGTATAGTGCTTAAATTAACAAAATTACAAAGTTGATTTGAAATCCATAATTAATAATTCATTAAATGAAAAATAAAGATAGCATTTGTTACTGTTACAGGTTGAAATTTATATGTTGAAGCCCTCAGTACCTCAGTATGGGACCTTATTTGGAAATAGAATTTTTTCAGTTATAATTAGTTAAGATGAGGTCATCCTGAAGTTGGGTGGGGCCCAATATGAGTGACGTACATATAAAAAGAACACCATATGAAGACATAGACCAGTACACAGGGAGACTGCCAGGTGAAAATTAGAGTTATGCTGCTACAAGTCTCAGGGACTACCAGACGCTAGGTGAGGCCTGAAACAGATCCCTCCCTAGCATCTTCAGAGGGAACATGGGCCTGCCAACACCTTGTTTTTGGGCTTCTGGCTCCAGAACTGTGAAACAGAAAATTTTTCTTGTCCTAGCCCAGCCACTCTTTGTACTTTGTTATGGCAACCCTGGGAAACTAGTACAGTCAGTATACAACTGATTTGAAAACACAGTAAATAGGATATTTCTAAGAAATATCTCTAGAAGGTTTTCCTTGAAAAAAAAAAAGCACATTATTTTTAATGACACACAATCAAACAATAATTAAAACCACATCAAAGAACTGCATTCAGCTTCGAGTAACAGAAATTTCCCCAAATCTAATATATTAGGAAAGTATTTGTTATCACATAGGACTGGGTGAGCACACCTAAAAATGCAAAAGGGTAACAAAGTCCATGTGTTGTTTTCTTGTTTTGCTGCAACATTTTAGCCTTGTGGTGGAACCAGGATCACAGAGCCACTAGAAGTATTAGGAGAACAAGGTGTTCACTATACAAATTAGACATCATACAAATGTGTTAAGATATAGAGAAAAGGAGAATCAGAACATGAGACACTGCCAACCATGACAGTCTGAATCAGTGGTCAGGAGGTCATGTAGGGTTTGCCGGAAAATCCAAACTATGGGTGCCTGACCACACAGGTATACCCTTGATACCAAGCTCATGGAGATGTCTGTGGAAGATTACACCTCTGACAAAAAAGAAATCAAGCACTTAGTGTTTGTTTTGATGATACTCTTGATTGGCAGGGCCAAGAATCTGGAAAATAAGCTGAAGGCTGGTGTCCACAATGCCGCTATGCATCTATCTATCTCCATTTATTGTGGCCCCAAAAAACTCAGTAGTGACTTCTTCACATCTTTCTTATAAGTCTCATGCAAGTTAGGCTATTGGTAAATTTAAAGATGGAACCATAAAGGGAAGGGATTCTGGCAAATGCAGTTCCTAACGTTACCCACACTGACACATCACAGGCCAGCAGAACTATCTCCAACTGTAGATTTCATTGTCATATCACAGGTGTCTCTTAAGTCCGTGCCTATTGTCCACTTCACAATCGCAAGCAAGGACAAACAGTAAACGGGAAATGCTGAAAATAACAATTCACTTGAGACAATACTCTTTGAAGAATTTTGCATAATTACAAATTTCTGCTAACTACTTCTTAGGAGGAAAATGGAATTAAAAAAAATAAATTAAAAATAAATAAAATAAAGATTCTCCCAGTAAGAAAGGTTGAAAATATAATAGGTAAGTTATATCCAATATCTGCTACACTAAGTCAGTTAAAAAAAAAAAATCTCAACAAATACCAAAGTGTCTTTGTGCCAATAACTCCTTGCTTAGAGAACAATTTAAGAAACTAAGTAAAACTTAAACCTACTTGTGTATTTAAAATACATTTCAAATCATCCATGAGTCCAACAAACTGTAAACATAAAAGTTTTATTTACCAAATTGTAAGAGAAAAAAACTACCTGCCCACATATATGTAGTACAGCTAACAGTATTTAGAGAAATATTTTTCACCTGTTTATTTGTAAATAGA